TTTTGAGACGGAGTTTCGCTCTTGTTACCCAGGCTGGAGTGCAATGGCGCCATCTCGGCTCACCGCAACCTCTGCCTCCTGGGTTCAGGCAATTCTCCTGCCTCAGCCTCCTGAGTAGCTGGGATTACAGGCATGCGCCACCATGCCCAGCTAATTTTTTGTATTTTTAGTAGAGACGGGGTTTCACCATGTTGACCAGGATGGTCTTGATCTCTTGACCTCGTGATCCACCCGCCTTGGCCTCCCAAAGTGCTGGGATTACAGGCGTGAGCCACCGTGCCCGGCTCACATTTTCTTCGACATTGCCAGGGCCCTTTCTTTGGAGAATAATAAGGGGTAGGATCACTGGGAGAAGTAAAAGTTTCCTGTTGCTCAAGTTGATGATGTAAAAGTGGTTAATTAATGTTATCACTTGAGCCTGGAACTGGAGGGCAAGTGTCTAGCAAACCCAAAATGTAAATGGCTCCAGTGTTTGTGCTGATGGCAATAAACCCTTTAGTACCAACAGCATCCTTGGTTAGGTAGCATCTACAGCACTAGGAATTGTCATTTTTCATGAGGTGTTTATAGCCCAAATCCGCTTACTCCCAGAGGAATCCTTGCATTGACTGTATAGTGAGTGCAAAGGGGAAAAATTCACTCCGATTCCAAGTAGGAGGAGAAATTTCTGTTTTAAATTTAAAATGTTGCTGCAGGCTGAATTGTTTAAAGAGTCTGATTCACCTTTCTCCTTTTATGATAATGGAAGAAAGTGGCAACATTATTGTTTTGACAAATGACAAACGAAGATGCAGAAAATTATGTATATTTAGGAAATGTATAAGGAAACAGTGAGGACAGGTTATAAAAAGCAATTTCACATTTATATCCTAAACTAACATCTCAGCCAAAAGTGATTGATTGATTCCTCATTTGAACAATATTACATTGTTTAAAAAAGAAACCACTAACATTTAAGGAATCACTACTTTCTGTGCACTTCAGAGGGTCCAGCATTCCCAGGGTGCTGTTAGAGGAGTGGCAGGAGCTCCTTCCACTGAGCCAGCCAGGAGTGTGCAAGGTAGAGAATGGGGACCCGGCTACAGTGGAGAAGGGACAAACAATTAGACTCGGTGGCACAGGTTCAATACAAATGATCTGTGGTCCTGGAAGTCAGGAAAGCGCAGTTCCAAATGCCCCAGATTCCACAGGCACGAGGGTGGGGGAGGAGAGAAATGGAAAGGACCACAGTCAGGGCTCCACTCCCAGAACCACTCTTCAGGGCCTTGGAGCCTGCCAAGGTTCCCCAAGAATGACCCCAGTGATAGCGACAAGGGCACAGGGGCCGGGTGGTCGTATGAGGAGCCTCCCAGCCCTATCACTCCCGGGCAGAAGCAGGGACGCACTGGCAGCACAGGGGGCTCTTTCTATGGCTGACGCCCACAGGGAAGACCTCAGCCATGCCTGCTCGGGAAGCTGAACAGCCTAGGAGATGACATTCCCCGAATATGGCCCCTAGGGCCACGCCACACCCCCAAGCCTGCATTGCAGTTCACGGCGCAATCACTACCCGTTACTTTACTTCTTTCTTTCCTCCCTGCTTTGTCCTCTGTCTCCCACACTAGAGGTGAGCTCTGTGAGGGTAGGGACTTTGTCTGCCTTGTTCCTGCCGCTTAGGACCCAGCACACAGTAGGTGTTCAATTAAAACTGTTGATTGCAAGTGAGCCCATTTATTAATATGCTAGGCAGATATCAAATGCACACTTCTACCTGGAGGATGAAACAAGCAAGGTACCCTCGTTGGTAACCATTTAACTTCAGTTTGTGAGGCAGGTCCTTGTCCCCACTCCCGGCAGCATTGTCATGGAGGAGGGTCTCAACAGGCCTCTAAGAAGGGCATGTGGCTGGGAGCTTTCCTGGCAAAGCCACTGTCCAGCCAGCCAGAGGAGCACAGCCCACAGGTGGCACTGCAAGGAAGATGGAAAACCTGGCACCTGAGAATGACATCAGGAAGCACTGCTGCTTCATGCGGAAAAGCCCCAGGAAATGCTCAAGGCCAGATGGAGAGAAGAGGGACACAGGCATCCAGGGGCAGACGTCCAGACCTCAACAGGCACACAGGGAAGAGGAAGGCACACACATGCCCTCATGCCACTGGGCCAGGACCTGTGGCCCCAGAGGAGCCTGTGGGGACCCAGCAGAGCCAGAGAAGCTCCAGGCGGGTTTTTGAGCCCCTCCTGGCCTAGAACAGAGCGTGCCACCAACACGTAGCCAGGGAATAAACAAAACATGCGGCCAGGCCCAGTGGCTCATGCCAGCAACCCCAGCACATGAGGTGAGGGTTCGAGACCAGCCTGGGCAGCACATGGAGACATCGTTTCTACAAAAACTTAAAAATTAGCCAAGAGCGGTGACAGCTAATTTTTACACAGGGCTGAGCATAGTCCCAGCTCCTCGGGAGGCTGAGGTGGGGGAACATCGCTGGAGCCTGGGAGGTCAAGGCTGCATTGAGCTATGATTACACCACTGCACTCCAGCCTGGGCAACAGAGTGAGACCCACCTCAGACAAAAACAAAAAGCACA